AAAAAAAAAAAGAAAAAGAAAGAAAAAGAAAAGAAAAGAAAAGAAAAAAAACCTTCATTTGGTCAAATCTGGCTCCTAATATATTTAACCAGTTCCAGAATTAGAAAGCCTTTCTGTACAGTTTCTCCTATTTTTCTCTCTTTTTCTCCTTACGTAATGAAATTAAAACTTTTGGAGCCTACAGTTGACATTTTTCAGAAAATTGAGTTATCAAGGCAGTAATTATTTCACGGGGAGATAAAACTCTCATAGCCCTAACTGTCAAATAGGGCCCTTTTCAGATTTTAATTACAAAATAAAATTAGTCTGCTCTTCCTCGGAATGGTTTGTGAGTGGTTAAACAGAGCTTTCCCCCCAATACTGGTGGTCGTCAAACTCTGCTAATTAGCAATGCTGAGAAATTCCAGTTAACAAGGACATTCTCCAAGACTGCAGGTTCCCTGCCGTTTGCCTTCATTTCCATAAGAAGATTAAGAGAGGAGGGGAACACACTCAAATGCAGATGCAGAAAAGAAGCGTTTTTTAACAAGCATCATAATAGTAAGATGCTTGGCTAGTTCTCACCTAATTACTGCAAGTTAAACCTCTATTTGCCACTAAGAAGAAAAAATAAGTCTACAGCCCCCTATCTCCACAAAATTGTTAGTTGGCTTCAGATATAATACTTGAGGAAGGATGAGGGGAGTTTAGGAGAGAAATATCAATGCCAAAATTTTTTTAATAAAATTTACACTTAATCAGTTAAGGACTTCGGGTTAGGACCTATAATAAAACAAAATCAAATCAGAATATCCTGGGAGTTAAGCATTTTTGTTCTTAATTTCTAATCTTACTCTGAAAGTATACAGCTTTTTCTGCCCAATGAAGGGAAATGTTAACTCTCTTTGGATTAAGCACTTTCAATTTTCATAAATTGTGCCAATGGCAACATTTTAAATTCTCCGAGGATGAAGCACCCTCTTCCAAGTCTTATTTTGATTCCCCAGTAGTCAATGGTGTATTGTTATTAGTACTGTAGCCGTCTGTTATAAACCTAAAACAGTGCTGCTTCTGTCATCTATTATGATTGTTATAGTTATTATTATATTTAGGGCCCAGTGATGGTGCTGGATTGAAATAGAGTGGCCGGTGATCTGATTTTTTTAATGCATATGTTCTAAAAAATCTAATGAGAAAATTGTTTCTGCTATCACCATCTTCTTTAATCTTATTTTCATAGCACATTATTATGCATAAATGCCAGCCACAGTTAGTTTATTGCCTTGATAAGTACAGCAGGCTTAATTAAAATAAAGCTGTAAATAAATGCAACCAATGATAACACAATTGTAATGTATTTCCATAGCTTATTTATATGATAAAAGCAATTAACAAAAGACCTAGCCAGCCCCTTTAACCTCTTAAATGCATTATTATAGAGTTCAGGCACAAACACATGCATCTGAGAATGTGTAAAAGCTATTATATATCATACCAAGAAAAAATGTGTGCCTCTTACTACCACCCTTGGGAGAGAGAGGTTTGCTTCTAGAACATTTGCTTCTATAACTATCCGTTATTAATATTTATTTTAATACACGTACACCACTGTTATCCACACCAACCCCTTGGTTTTTTTTTTTTTTCTTCTTCTTCTTCTTCTTCCATCTTAATTATCTCTAAGCTTTTATTTAGTTTTCCAAATAATGCTATTAAGTGCAGACCAATGCATTCACAATCATAAAGTGAATGCTTGATCTGCCCTCCAAGGCGTCTGGACAATCATAATTCATTCATATGTTGAATCTCATAATTTGTACCTATTTTTTCCCATGGTTTAACCTCCCACTTATCTCGAGGTTATAAGTACCTTTCTAAGTTAAGCAAATTAAATCTGATTCTTATGATTTGCTTCCATAGCTTATATGATATGTTAACTTTTCTTTTGTTTAGATTATGTGTAATTAGTTTGATCTTCCTCCCATCCCCCTCATTTTTTTTTCCTTCAATTATTTCCAAACACCTTCTTTTAAAGGTAAAAGCAATAGTCTTGGGAAAGCGAATTCACCAGTAGGGGGCGCACCAGCCACATCCCTGAAACCAGACGCGCTGAAAAGCCGGTGGCCGCTTTCCCTTCTCCAGATCCTCTCAACCTTTTCTCTTTCCTACTCTTCAGGTCCATGTTTAGCTTAATATTACACCTCGAATAAACAGAAGACACTACTTTATTTTGAAGAATGCCATATACTTATGCGTTTCCAGAAGGCTAGTCTTATCCTTCCCGGGTTCCCAGTAACTAAAACGAATCATAACTTAGGAGAAAAAGAGAGAAACTGCTAGAGGAGGGAAGGAGGTAGAAGAGGTTGACTGGAAATAATGATTTATTGAGAAAAGTCTGCTAGATTCTTTTTCACAACTTTTCTGGGTTTCCAGTGGATATGCTTATCTTAACTTTGACAAAAACAGAAAAGCCTGGGAAGGCAGGGATTGGAGAAGTTGGAGGGGAAGGGGGGTGGGGGGACGGTTATGGGAAGGAGGTTAGTAAGGAACAAAACAATGCACAGTTTTGTAAAGATAATAAATGGAACATGGCCGACAGATACTATTCAGTACATTTTCTTAGGGTGAGTAAGGGTAGATCAGGGGAGGAGGGGGGCGGAGAGAGTGTTACAGAAGAAAGAAAATAAGTAACTCTGATGGTTTAAGCCCTTTATAAAAAAAGAAATGGCATCAGGGTTTTTTTTTCTCCCCCCCCCCCACGCTTTGTAGTCAAGTGCATTTTAGCCACAAAGATCCCAACAAGAGAGTGGAAGGAAACTTAGACGGGGCTTTGTTTGACTCCGTGTAGCGACAACAAGAGAAACAAAACTACCTATTTGTAACGGACGTGCTGCCATTGCTCTGCGCATTGAGCGCCTACCTATTGAAATCTTTACGTCGGGACAATGGGAGAGCGGCTAAAATTACTCTCCTGGGTCCTGGGAGGGCAGGATTCCTGAGCCCCTACCCCCGCCCCCATCCCATCCTCCTCTAGCCCCAGCCTTGCTGGGCTACCCCCTTCCCTAGTCCTGGTCGCCTTCTTCCTGCTTGCGCGGCCTGCACCTGTGCCTGGAGAGCAAGCACCACCCCCGCCTCCCAGGCCCGGAGGCCCCTCCGAGCGCAGCCCCAGGCCTAGGCGGCCGGGGCGATGCGGCCACTGCTGTAGAAGTCACTGGGGGAAATGCCGGGGCTGGTCGTGCTTGAGTCCTGGGAACTCTGCGTGGGAGGGAGTTTGTGAGTGCGGCTCAAAAGCCACCTCCAAGCCGTGCCCTGGGATGCCAGGAAGTTGAGATTACCCTCCCCCATAGCCTGTACTTCTGAGCGTCCTTCTGTTGATCTTTCTTCCCCTGCGCTCTCTGGAAAGCGGCACCACTGGGATCCCTCCGTGGGGGAGGCTAAGGAGGAGAATGGGGAGAGAGGACGCGCATACCTTGGCACCGCCCGAGTGGAGAAAGACGGGTGGGAGATGTGGCGGGGGTGAGGGCCAAGCTGTGGTTTCCTGCCTGGAGCGCTGAGTAGGGTAGGGAAGAGCGTGGACTCGGCAGTTTACCCAGTCCCGGCCTAGCCTCAGCTCTAGAGGCGGCCGCACTTTCCGAGCAGGATTTACTTTTTAAATAGAGCAAATTATGTGGAAGCAAGGAGGGTTCTGAGGACACAGCTTTCAGCCTCCTAACTTCTTGTCGGGACAGTGTGAGAAGAGGGTGAGCGAGCATCGGCAGTCGTGGAGGGAATAGGGGCAAGCGAAGAGCCAGGTTGGGGAGAAGCCCTAGAGCGGCTGGCGCTGGGGGGAAGTGAGCGGGGCAGCGGGAGAACAATGACACACCAACTCCAGCACGGCCGGTTCCCTGAAGTACTAGTAGGACAGTCGCCCCGAACCACCCTTTCTGCCCTGCCCTACCCCCACACCTCAGCTTCTCGCGCCCCTTCCTCATTTCAGCGGCGCGCACCAAAAAGTAAATCAAGATTAAGTCTAAAGAAGAAAAAAGTCGTAGTCTTAGTGCTGTTTACCCACTTCCTTCGAAAAGGCGTGTGGTGTGACCTGTTGCTGCGAGAGGGGATACAAAGGTTTCTCAGTGGCTGGCAGGCTGGCTGTGGGAGCCGCCTCCCCCTCCCTCCTCCCCCCCCCGCCTCCCCCGCGCAGCCCGCGGCGCGGCAGGCCCCGCCCCCTTTCATGCAAAACCGGGCGGCGAGGCTGGGCTCGAGTGGAGGAGCCGCCGCGCGCTGATTGGTCGCTGGAAACCCATTTATTCCCTGACAGCCCCCGTCACATGGATGGTTGTCTATTAACTTGTTCAAAAAAGTATCAGGAGTTGTCAAGGCAGAGAAGAGAGTGTTTGCAAAAGGGGGAAAGTAGTTTGCTGCCTCTTTAAGACTAGGACTGAGAGAAAGAAGAGGAGAGAGAAAGAAAGAGAGAGAAGTTTGAGCCCCAGGCTTAAGCCTTTCCAAAAAATAATAATAACAATCATCGGCGGCGGCGGCAGGATCGGCCAGAAGAGGAGGGAAGCACTTTTTTGATCCTGATTCCAGTTTGCCTCTCTCTCTTTTCCTCCCCCAAATTATTCTTCGGCTGATTTTCCTCGCGGAGCCCTGCGCTCCCGACACCCCCGCCCGCCTCCCCTCCAC